AAAGACCACAGTTCAAAAGGTATGTCTTTGGAATCAGCCAGACAGGCCACAGAGTTTACCACATTACTGGCAATATCGCAGTCTCATGTGGCTTCCGTTTCATGAGGGAAGTTTTATCCCCTCTTATAACTCAAGGGCACTTTAATATCATTTCTCTGTGTGGGCAATACGGGTAGCCCTCAAGTTACGCCCGCAGCTGAGCCCTACATTTATGCCGCTAAGTAAAACATTTGTTAAGAGAGTTTTGCCCCATTTTGTTTTACTTTTCTTGCCACAGTTATTCAATGAATCATTGCATTGTTACGTTAATAACCTGGTTGTTAAGTGGATCTAGATTCCCCTTTGACTCTGCTTGTCAGAAGGTCATAAAAGCGGATCACATGACCCCAGGACATTGCAACCATCATGAATATGAACCAGTTGCCAAGCATCTGAATTCTATTTTGATCACATGAACATGGGGATGCTGCAACAGTCATAAGTGTGGGAAATGGTCATAAGTCACTTTTTCCAGTGCCATTGTAATTGTCAACAGTCACTAAATGAATTGTTTGTACACTGAGAGTTACCTGCATATTTAGTGTGCTGTCATTGGTTCTGTGATACATCTGGCTCCTTCCAAACTGAGAAAGAACTCTGAAAATGTAGTAATATTTGAGCAAACTCCTCTCTTGAAGCACTCTTCCGTGTATTTTTAATTTATATATTTTTATAATGAACATCACTGGATTTATTATACTTGCCATGTAACGTTACATTAAAGGTAAGATCAGTATGTAAGGAGCGAGTGGGAGTTGAAATCCAGAGATGGCCGAATAGTTTGGAATTTTCCATGAAGGCCGATGTATTCAAGGTATTTTTTCATGGTGCAATATTCACTTAAAACCAAGGTGGACAATACCATATAATTGTGTTGGATACCTCCCCCCCACCAATCAGCCTTCCCATAGTCAATGCTTTTTAAAATTTATTTTATGACTGCATTTCAAATGTATTGTGCTTGAGCATTTTACATTCATACGGCATGTTATTCAGCCAGCATAACTGGATAAACAAGGAAAGGATGTGGTGCCCAACTTCACACAATGCTAGGTCATGATTTGTTGAATAAGTCACAATTGAGTGAGTTCAGGAAGCACTAGCCCGTACGTTTTTTTCTCACAAACCGGTGTCTGAATTGTCTCGGGACACTATGCCAAACCAATAGTGGTTAGAGGTGGTGACAGTTGTACCTGGAAGCATCCAATCATCACGTCCTGGCTTTAAGAAAATGATGATCACAGCATCTGATGCAGAGGTGGGTATTCAGCAGGTTCTGACCAGTTCTGGAGAACCTGTAGCAGAAATTTTCAGCAGCTTGAAGAACCAGTAAATACCACCTCGGACATCTATTCTCTGCCTCCCGAGTCCCAGCTGATCGGGAGGAAATGGGGATTTTGCAGTAACCTTCCCCTGGAGTGGGGAGGGAATGGAGTTTTTACAGTATCCTTTCCCTCCCACGCCCACCATGCCCCATGCACAAAACGGGTAGTAAAAAAAATGTAAATCCCACCACTGATCTGGTGACGTAGCCTTTTTAAAAAATTAAATCAGATCTTAGGGCAGGGATGTTGGATTCTGACGCCCACCCACTCAAACATGACATTTCAAACCATTCTGGGATTATGGCATTTGTAATGCAAGAATAGCGTTATATTGCTTTTCACGATGACTATCTTCTGAAAGCTAATCACAAATTAATTTAAAATCCAGCTTTTTACAGGGCTGGAGTTTCTGTTCCGGTAGGTAGGTTGTTTGCAAGAGTCACTTGCAAAGGTAGTTAATGAAATTTCCACATGCTGAGGCAAAATATCTTTGTATAAGATCCAGGAAAGAAAGAATAACAAAACCCTTTAACTCCCAATGCCCTGTTTGTGTATATCTATGCATAAACCAGCTGGTCCTTCTTTAATAAAGGAAACCCAGGACCCAACGAGCCTCAGCTTGAGGCGATTGCTGTATTTTTGTGTTTTGTGGAAGCCAGCCTGGGATACTGTAGGCATGCCATAAGATGATGTAGTCATAAAAAACATGAGAACTTCATTATAAACATCAAACAGAAAGAACATCTGAGCTGCATGGTAACTCTAGAAAGCCATTCCAGCCCCTCCCTTCACCCTACGTCATTCTGTAGAAAGCTACTGTTACTCCACTCCAGCGGAATATGGCAATTTTATCTGCAAAACTGAAAAGGGGTAGTTTTTAGTTTTGTTTTTAATAACATCTGCTTTGTCAACGTAACTTGCAGACAACCTAAAAAGCTGTAGGATTTTGCTGCAGGGTGCCTATTTATCAGGAAACAGGATTACTTAATGTTACTTGTGAGAGATCAACTACTACTTTAAAAAACACAAAAACCACTCCTCTCCCAACCCTATCTGTCTTTTGAGTGTGTGGAAAACTCCCACTAAGTACAGATCAAAACAATTGCACTGTAAAGTCATGTAAATTAAAGACACCAATTAAAGCCACATCACTTCTGCGACTTGCTTGCCTGATTAATTTATGGAAGTCATTATCACAAGTTCTGGCTTTTCTCTTTTAGAGAAAATATTGGCACCCCCCACCTCCCCCCCAAGGAGTTCGTTTTAGAATTGCTGGACTTTCTGTCTAGCCATTTTATTTTGTTTTGCTAATTTAGTACCCTTTTTTTTTTTTTTTGGCAAAAGGTGGTGGTGGTTTGAAGTTGTTAAGACATTCGTGTACCTAGTAAAAAGTTCATTTCTTCTTCTTGGTTCTTTCTGTCTGACAGCCTTTTTCCCTCCTGCCCCCTTCCTCTTTGGTCTCTTAGCCAGACGGTGAGAAAAGCAACTTTAGCAGAATGCTTTTTAGGGGGACAATTAGTAGCTTTTACCTGTCGATTGCCATTTGATAATCTGGCTCTGATCTCCGGGGCTTTGATTTCCATGAGAAAAATCAAGTACCCGCTTATTTCTCCTTTTGCCCATGGACCTTCAAGAATGGAATGGACTGATTCAATTATGTATTATCAACTCTTATCTACTGCATGGAATAAGGGTAATTGTTGAAATAAATTCATGAAGGGGAGACCAATTGATAACTTCCAGCCTTGGGCCCTAAATGGAAATGCAGGTTCTCACTGGTCACTTGAGTAGAGAGGCTAAGTGATTGGATTCAATTTCATTCATAGTAGGACTCCAGTTTCTGGGCTGCAAAAATCCACACGGCCCCTAGATGGCAATAAAGAGACATAGAAAACTGTACTGTCAGTATCCAACAACTAGAATGCCCTAGTATATATGATCCATTTAATTTGCCAAGGAAATTGGAGGTTAATGAACTCTGGATTCAGTGCAAATTATCTGGTTCAATATGCCAATGTTTGCAAATGTTTAAAACCGTATTTCCTTTATGATAATCAAAACTGAAGTATTTCCTTCCTGATTGTAGCAGACAGCACTTCAGATCATTCTTACAGGAGGATCCCTACGTATCTAGATGCTTCCTATAATGTCTGTAACTGCGTGTCACATGTTATCAGGCTCATTAATGCTATTACAATAAGGAATAAATGTGAGGTAAATAAAATGGGTCTTTTGGCTTCTATCTACTGTTATCTAGAAACAGTAAAAACAAAACCTAGCTGTGTATTGTTCTTTAGTGGCCCTCATTTTTCATTATTTGCAGATATTTGAAGCTGCTGATGTGATTGATCATCACTGTTATTATATTTTTACATTCAAATTTGCTTTTAAAAAAAATCTTAAAGTGTACATGATGATAAAGCTAAAACAAACTTATGTATTAGGTCCAGGTGTTCTTGCTATTGCACCACACAGGGTCTTAATACCTAACTGAAATTGCAAACATATTTATTTGAGTAGTATCCGATCTATTTTACTTCCAGGTAAACAGGTAATATGTTGCAATAATTTGTGACATTTAACATTGAATGCTTGTTTGGATCATTGATGCTACTTAATGGAATACCAGTTGCCACTCTGACCAAGACTTAGTTTTTCTCCGAGGATTATTTTAGCCATGTATATTTGGCCACCAGAGTGTTGTATTTGGTCCCAAGTGAATGGCATCCTTGAGCATTATATGCCAGAATGCAACTCCTGCCACCATTTAGAATCCTTTCTGAAATCCTCATAGTTGAGAAACTGATAGTGGTTCTCCTCCTGGCTACTTCCCAAATTTGATACTGAAAACAAACAGATTGAGCACAATCTGTTCTAGGCAATCTAACTTTTTTCCATGAAGAAGTTGATTATTGAGACAGTTAGTAAAAACACACTAGTTTAGTCTTGCCTGTAAAACAAATAATCTTATTTCCACATTCTTTAGGGACCAATAAAGAAACAATTCCCTCTAGGCAAGTCCTCAAGATTTTGGCCATGTCTCTCATTTCAAACTTTGTACTCTCCAATAATAAAATAGGCACATTAATATTTATCAAACTAACTCAGAACTATAGTTTAATGATTAAGATCCCTGGTGGTGCAGTGGTTAGAATGCAGTACTGCAGGCTCACGGCTCACTGCCAGGAGTTCGATCCTGATCAGCTCAAAGCTGACTCAGATTTCCATCCATCCAAGGTCAGTAAAATAAGGACCCAGATAGTTGGGGCAAGATGTTGACTCTGAAAAATTACATAGAGAGGTCTGTAAAGCACTGTGAAATGGTATATGAGTCTAAGTGCTTTGTTTTTGCTATTGCTATTAAGGCTAATTTATAGCTCAAAGGATCAGAAAGGGACATAGCCTTAATTCCTGAGATGAAACTTTAGGTTCAAAATTAGTTGTTGCTTGCTTCTTATTTTAATTCTTCTTATAGCTGCATTATGGGGGAAATTGATTTAATTAATTTTGGGATGAATCAATTGGATCACAATTATAGTATCACTTGGGTCAAGCAGTCAGATTTAAGACACCATACAGCTATGATGTAGAAAAAAGGCATTTATTTATAAACAAGCATTTAAAAAAAAAGGCAAACTAGATGTAGCCAATCACATCGTTGCAAATGATGGGCTGCCGACTTCGGCAGTTCATTAGGGCAGCAAAGCTGCTGCAGTCTGTAGAAAGCTCGCTGATGTTGGCATGGGACTGGTGGAAGTAGGGTAATGAAGGGCGCCCATCCAGACCGGCAGGGCAAGAGAAGCGTTTGGTGCCGTCCCGATCCTGCTTGGTGCGCTCCGTGCGGGAGATGCCAGCCAGCCTGCGGCGAACGTTGCCTGAGAGGTTAAGCAAGAAGCCATGGGGCTTGGCCAGCCAACGCTGCAGCCACCCCCGTTCTCCGCTTTCTTCAGGCAAGTCCATCCAGTTCTCCACTAAGTCAGCAAAGCAGTTGTCCCCCAGCACAAGGGGTTGGCGGTTACGACTCTGGGACAAGAGGGACACTGTCCAGTCACCCGCATCGGAGGGCTCACCATCCCGCCACCGCTCTAGGCAGGCATCTGAAGCCGATTTTGGCCGGGGCCTCCTGGCTGGCACCCGACGACGTAGGAAGCCCCCTGAGGAAAGCTTACTGGCTCTCAGGGGTGGGGGGCCTTCCTCGTCCCGCCAGCTGTTCCCGGATACTTCTGAATAGCCTGAATCGAACTCCAGACTCCGCTCGCTGCTGGGTGGAGAGAAAGCAACCTCTTCTTCCACAGCCCCTTCCAAGCAACAGGCAGAATCCGCTTCCGAGATAGCTGATATCCGTGGGCTGACACAGGACTTTGAGGGAGGCAGAGCTGAGGGCAGCCGTATCTCCTGGGGTTCCAGTTGCCGCTCTCGGTCGTGATCCCTCTTGAGATCGTGGAGGGTCCGCATCATACACTGCATCTGGCCTCGCAGCACCTCGCTCGACTCCTTCATGCACAGCTGTGGGGAAGGAAAAGCAACCCTCTTTTATTTTCTTGAAATGATCCACCCGAGAAAAGTGCCCCGTTCATGTCCCAGGTGAGAGCCGTGACAACTGAAGATAGCTAGCACTTATATACCCCAAGTGACAGCTATGCTGAAACCCTCGAGCCAGCTTAGTCTAATGTGTGCATCCTGAGCTTACTGCCACAAACATCCATAAAAAGCCACGTGTGGGTCATGAGCCCAGACAAAAACACAAAAGATCAATGTCTCCATAGATCGGAGCGGGTGACCTCACACGACCCAGGCCCCCCTCAGGCAAAAGCATTTGCTTGACACAAACCCTTTGATGACAGTCCCTGACACTGCTCCTTCCCTGCCCCTCAGCCTTCAGAAAGCACCACTCGCGCTCCTATCCCTCAGCTTACCTGCTCCACATATTCTAAGTGCCTAAGGAGTCCCACAGATCAAAGATTTCCAGGGCCGACTACCTGCCAAGAATCCCCCTCCAGCTCTAGAGCCGAGGCACCTCGTCAGGCGAGGGGCACCAAATCTGCCTTAGCTGAGGGGGTGGAGTTGGGAGCCAGAGCCGCACGCGCAAGCCCTTGCCCCGTCTCGTCTTGGCAGATCCCCCAGCCCCGAGGCGGTAGCTTTTCAGCAACATCTGCACGTTCCAAGCCCATCCCCGGCCGTACAAGCAGCAGCTTGTTGCAGTGGGCGAGTTGCCCCACCCGGCAGAGGATGACACAAAGGGTGTGTGAGAGCCTGCAGGAATTACACAAGCAGCCATTCAGGGAGGAAAAGGCAGGCGATAAGGCCACCGTCACTGGCGGCAGAGGGGAAGACTGGACCAGCTGCAGGGTAAGCAAAGGTGAAGTTCATCTGGGAGTTAATGAGCTTTAGAAATCCCAGAGCAAGAGCGAGGACTCTGCAGAGGAGAAAGGACAAGAGGTTCGCATAAGCCAGAATAAGGCCAACTGGCCTTTCTTGCAAGAAATCTCTATGACCAGTGTGACCAGATGAAGTGGCCAGGAGCAGCACTTCCCATTCTAGGTGTTCTAAAAAGGCAGGTCAAAGGAAAGAAGGCCCTACTCTAATGGACACAAGGGGAAGGAGAGATATAAAAGCTAGGCTGGCTGGTTTCTTCATAGTAAGGAAGACGTGTTTGAGTGTGTTTTCTGGTCTGGCAGGGAAAATGTTTTGCCACAAGCCCATAAACTTGCTTTGCCCATTTCTCAATCCTAAAGCGACAAAGGGAGAATTGAGGGCTCGAACACAAAGACTGCAGAGTCCTAGTATTTTGTTCTATTTTCCTCTCCCTTCTGCAGAACCCCTTCCTGTTGCTTTCTGAAAGACTCTGCAGTTCAGATCAAAGATATACCACAGGCCACTGCTCCTCCAGGCATAATTTGGACACAGTGACAAGAAATGATTCATTTTAGCTGCTCTGGTGATACAGCATACAATAATCCTCAGTGCCTGGCTCAAAACCAAGAACAAATGTGTCTTAGTGTGATAGTCGGTCGCAATTCCAGGGCTAAAAATGTAATCTTTTTTTNCATGCGTGGAAAGCGCGAAATTCGAAAAAAACGGGTAAGGAGCGGGCACGGGTGTGCGGGTGCGCGCGGGCGCGGGGGGGGGGCTTCGCCATTCCCGGAAGTTACTTCCGGGTTCGGCAACCAACCGGATCGCAGGGACCGGTGCGAACCGGTCGAAACCCACCCCTGTCCCTGTCCCACTCTGCTGCCAGCTCCACTAGCTGTCAGCGCACCACAACAGGTAAAGACCCCTGCCGCCGACAGGTGTTGGACTGAAAGACCTCCCAGGTCCCTTCCAGCCCTATGATTCTATGATTCTAAATGCATTTAGCAGATATTCAAGGGCAATTCATAAAGCATCTGTACTGAACCCTCATCCCTTTTTAACTGATTACTGGATTAAAAATTAATGGCCCCAACCAGTGCAAATCAATACATATGCATTTTTTAAAAATGCATTTTGGATAGCACAGCTGAGCTTCGAATTTGCTTAAAAACATCATCCTGTGTTTTCTCAAGTCAGAATTTCAGTATCATCAGGCATGTTTCATTTTTCAGAGCAGTGGGAAGTCCAGAGACAGTGCTGGGGGGCCTTAATCTGGTTTAGACGAGAGAACAGTCAAATTGGAAAATAGCTCGGTAGCAATGCTTCCTTTTATAAGGGAGAACAAAGCCAGAATGGAAGGTAATGCATGTCAACAAAACTTTTGATTTCACATCAGTGAACACCATTCTATGCATCGTCAGTGAGTAGGGGGAGAGGGGAGGAATAGGGATTTGCACAGTGTTGAAGGGAGGAATATTATGGTCTTTTTTTTTAATTCCTCTCCAGACAAGATCTCTGTAAATATCCTCAAAGTCTTTTTTTTTATATAGTGGCAACTGAAATTGGATGCAATATTCCAAGTGTGGTCTCCCTTGTATCCGTGGATTGCAAGAATATCAGTTTTCTTGCAGTTCTTCAATTGGTGGGTGGATATTCTGCTTTTGGTGGTATTGTCACCCCTTAAATCCAGGGGTGAAATTCAATTTTTTTTTTTACTACCGGTTCTGTGGGTATGGCTTTGTGGGCATGGTGTGCCTTTGTGGGTGTGGATTTGTGGGCATGGCAGGGGAAGGATACTGCAAAACCTCCATTCCCACTCCACTCTGGGGCCAGCCAGAGGTGGCATTTGCTGGTTCCCCGAACTACTCAAAATTTCCACTACCGGTTCTCCAGAACCTGCTGGACTTCACCCCTGCTTAAATCGAATGGAAAGACAAATGGAATTGTTGGAAGAAATGTCCATCTGGGTTCAGTTCCAAGTGGGGGGAAAGACACTAGAAACATGGTGGCTGCTTGGAAAGATGATTTAATGGTGGACAGGACCACATTTTATGTAAGCCGCCCTGAGTCCCCGCGGGGAAAAGGGCGGCCTATAAATATTAATAAAATACTAAAAAAAAAATACTAAAAATACATCCTTCAAGATCTTGGTTGAAGAAAAAAAGGGAAAAGATGCTGAGAGTGTCAGCGTTTTATGCCCTCTCTTGGGTACCGCCTTAGAGTTTCCTGTTCCTGTGTAAGAAATCTATTCTTTTTCCCCCCAAAGAATTTATTTATTTATTTTATTTTCTTACATACCATTTTTAAGTATACATTCAAATAATTGTCATTCTTCTGTAGGAAGTTATCACCCAGCCCTTTCCCAGAAAAAATGAAATATCCTAGGAAATATTGAAAAGGCAGAATATTTCTCTGGATGTGAAAAGGAAGAAACATGTTTAAAAGATACAAGATGCAACTTCCTGCCCATCCCCCTTTGTCAATGAACCATTAAAGCCTGAACTAGTCCACTTTACATAATAAAGAGTTCTCCCCTTCAGCTCCAGGGTGATGGGATTAAGGCATGATAATATTGGCCCTTTTCCCTCTTCGCCTTTCTCTTTTCTCCACCAACATTGAAGCATGTCATCACCTTTTCTGTTCAGCAGCTCAAGCCATGTGGTCATGTCCACCAATAAACCATCTTTCCAAGCAGCCTCCATGTCTCCAGTGTCTTTTTCCCCCACTTGGAGCCAAACCCAGAAGGACATTTCTTCCAACACTTCTTTACATTTATCATTCTTATACATTTATTATTTCATTTAATAAGTTATAATGTACATTTTGGGTTGCTTTATTTACCATCCCTTCTTTCGTAACACCTCCTTGTTTTCCCTTTCTTTTGTATTCTGATTGGTGGTTATACTCTGGGGGGGGGGGGTGTCTTAGCTAACTATATAGGCTGTCTGTGTCCCACCTACTGTTCACCTACTTTTTTTTTAACAAAGATTATTACATTATCTTCTACTTTCCTCTTCTATTATTGCATTAGTCTTGCTGTCAATATCCCTTTAAGTTGGCCATTGAAGTGAAACATAGACAGAAGGCACCAGGGTGTCCCATCATGTGCTATGATATATTAATTATTTAGGTTTGTGAATTGTTTCCTTTTTTGGTCTATATTAGGCTGCAATTAGCACTTCATCTTCTCCACAGCAGGATTTTCTAGGGCTTCCTTTAGCAGCTGTATAGAGGATTTCAAAGGAGTGTGTCAGGCACAAAGAATCAGGAGCAAGCATGAAGTTCTAGATAAGCTAAGCTGATGTATTTTGCTCATGTGTATGTTGGAAGAAATGTTCTTCTAGGTTAAGGTGACCAGACGTCCCGCTTTTGGCGGGACAGTCACGATTTTCTACAATATGTCCCACGTCCCGCATCGTTATCAAAAAGTCCCGATTTTTCATTTTTAATTTTGGTGCCTTCTCGCTCGCTCGCTCGATCTCCCATTTTTGCCGCGTTGCAGCTCGCTCGCTCGCTCCCCCGCCCATCTGCACTAAGTCTAAGCCAGCCCAGCCTGCCGCTCGCTGATTGGCTGGAGTCCAGCCAATCAGTGAGCAGGCTGGGGACGGAAAAGTTTAAGCTTCGCGCTGCTTGACTCAAGTCTCCATTTCGCCTTCACCTTCTTGCTGCTTCAGGTAAGCAACTCCGGCAGCAGGACTCGGGAGGCTTCGGGTGGGCAGCGGCGGCTTAGCTTTCACAAGGGAAGGCCTTGAAACATGGTGGTTGCTTGGAAAAATGGTTGAATGTGGACAGGATCACATGGCTTGAGATATGGGGTGTGGGGGAGGGGAAGAGATGCTAAGAGAGCCTCAGGTTTTTTTTTAATATTTATTTTTATTACACAATTTTTCTTTACATATCTCAGTTTTTTGCCCTCTCTGGGCTTTTGAATTTGAGCATGTATTCTGATTGGTTGCCAGACTCCCATGCTGCCTCCTGGGACCAAAAACGGGCCACGGGAGGGTGCTGCACCCACTGCGCCCCATTTTGGGCCTAGAAGGCCTCCCTATAGCCTCCTGGGACCAAAAACAGGCCACAGAAGGGTGCTGCACTCCCTGCATCCCATTTTGGGCCTAGAAGGCCTCCCATGCAGCCTCCTGGGACCAAAAACGGGCCCCGCGAGGGCGCTGCACCCACTGCGCCCCATTTTGGGCCTAGAAGGCCTCCCATGCAGCCTCCTGGGACCAAAAACGGGCCATGGGAGGGCGCTGCACCCACTGTCCCCCATTTTGGGCCTAGAAGGCCTCCCATGCAGCCTCCTGGGACCAAAAACGGGCCATGGGAGAGCGTTGCACACACTGTGCCCCATTTTGGG